ACATTTGCTGTCATGTTAAACTTCTATTAAAGTTTTTCTTCATTACCCATTTAAGCCGTCTCCAGCCATTATTAGTATAGGGAATTGATCGTATTCATGCATCATCTTTTATCATATTTAATTATGAGAATTGTAAGACAAGTGGGCACCTGTATAAATCTTGGCAGGATAGGAGTCATTTTCAGTTAAGACAGCTTTATTTTTCTAATAGGGTGGTTGGCTTTTGAAATGGATTGCCTTATGATATGGTAGGTACAGTTAATTTAAGGGATGTCTAGATAAATATCTGAATAATAATTACTGATTTTGAGTGTTTTATTTCTTATTTTAGAGTTTGGTACAATGGATGGTACAATATCTTACCTCTTCTCAAATAAAGCTTTCTCAACTTGTACTGCCTTCTATCAGTGCAAATTCTCCCTCACGACTAGCCTTGTTACTGCACACTAACATGCAAATGATCATGCAGTAACCCTCCACCAATAGGAGTGCGACACTACCCCTATTGTAACTATTGCCCTCTCTAATCATTGATGTGTTAATCACTTCTCGATTGGCAGTCGTACTATTAGACATGTGTTTTTTGTTAACCTATTCACCTGTTTTTACTTTTGTGAATTTCTCCTTCAGTTAATTTGTTATCTTATGTTTTCTGGAAGAGTAACAATTTATTTTATCTTATATCCTTTTTCAATTTAGGGAGTTATGCACACACACAGTTTTGGGTAGTCATGACTATGACTGCTTTTACTGTGGCAGTGGAATTCATGACCATCGGGAGTTGATCACTTTCATGCTACAATCAGAAAATACTGATGATTGTTCTAACAAAGTTTTCAGTGATCTTTTAGTTTTGTATTTGGACAGTCCCCCACTCTTGAATTTGCCTCTTTGTCACGAGTTGTTTTGGGGGACTTGCCTAGACCTTTTTTTCCCCTTTAGTGGATTTGTCATTCAGGTATGTTACATTCTGTACTTATCTCCTATTTCCTATGTTACACCCCTGCCCTTCTAACATGTCACAATCCCACCACCTCCTTTGTCAGGGCTCTCCAATGGTATATGACATAGTACTCCCTTCTGTGGTTCCCGAGTCTGTTTGTTTCTAATGTGAAATCCTCATTTCTCCTGTGATCTTTTCCATCACTCTTCTGGGTTAAATTCACAAGTTCATTTGTCTGGCATTTTCTTCCCTTTCTCCCAGTGATTGCCCCTTTTCATGTTTTCTTTCCATCAGATCTGTGACCTTATCATGTCTCTGGCTGCACATTTTCATCTTCTTTTGGGGGACATCATCAGTGCTGTAACTGTTTATCTGTGGTGGTAAGTACTCTGTCCATTTTTCTTTGCAGGGGCCTCTATGGCATATTTGGATTCCACTCTGTGGCGAGTGTACACTGACCAAGTATACTTAGTCTTAAATCTGCACTGTACAACCTGTGAATATGCTGGATGGCTGTGACGTTGAGACTCTTCCTACCACGAACCTGATGTACCATTCCAGATGCCACCAGGTGTTGGTTGATTGACTCCGTCCAATATATCCTTTATGCATTGATATAAGCTGTAGAAAAAAAGAACAAAATAACACGTAACAAGGTCATTTTACACTCACCGTTGAGATGGGGTGATCTGCTGGACTACTCGTATGTGTACCTCGCAGTCTTTTGCTTCATAAGTATGTACATTCCAGACCATACACTCATGGACTAACGTGAGTAAAGCAGACAGAGATCACTGCCCATCTCTGATGATCTGTGGCTTTTGACACTCATCCTACTGTGGACCTGATTCCAGATGCCACCAGGTGTTGGATGGTGCACTACATCAATGTGATCTCTCTGCTTTTCAACATAGGGTATCACAGTCACCCATTTCACTATCTGCGGGGCTGTGGTTCTCCAGACTCTCTAATGCATTATTTCCTTCCTCCTTCTAGTGGAGCATGGAAGTCTTGCCACTTATCAGTTTCTAGCTGGTGGATCATGGAGGCCTGTCCTCCTGAGTGTACACAATACCACTCAGTTTTATAGTAGGGCAGTGACATTCTGTGGGTGTCAATGGCATGACACCCTTCCTACTGTGAACTTGATGTACAATTCTGGATGCTGCCAAATGTTATATGTAGCACTCCACCATATATATAAACAAAAGAAATGCAGTTTGTCCATCCAGCTGATACATCCTTCTTCCTACCATCCCCTGGATGTTGGTTCCTGGGGATCGAGTATTGGTAGGAGACTATTCAGCCACATAAGTCCTCACATATGTTTGGCTGGTACCTTCCTCCTACTGCAGACTGGACAATAACTTCCCAATGCCACCAGGTTTTGGACTGGAGATGCAACCCCAAAATTCTGGTCCATCTTCCTACCGTCTACTAGATGTTGGTTTCAGGTGGATCCGGTGTTGGTTCTGGCTGGATGAGACACATGACTTCCTGCTTTTGTAAGTCTGAGTACTTTCCTTCTACTGCAGACTGATAGACCAAATTCCCAATGCCACCAGGTTTTTTGGACAAGAGATGAACACCCACCTTGGCTCTCCTCCTTCCTACCATCTGCCGGATGTTGGTTCCTTGTGGATCTGGTGTTGATTTGTGTTGGAGGTGCATACGTGTGGAGATGGTTACTTGGTACGGAAACTCCTCTTCCCTGTCTGTACCCGTTTTTGAGAGGAAGGGTAGAGTACCTTCTTCCTACCACAGACCTGATGTACAATTCCAGATGCGGCCAAGTGTTGGTTGAGGTTGAACTCCCATTTACAGTCTGTCACACCCTAGCCACTCTACACCAGGGAGCCCCATTATTTCTGTATTTTTTTTGGACCCCTCCAAGTTCCTGCCCTTTACATTTTGGCAACATTACTAAAGGGTGAAGAGTATAACTGGTTCAGAAGTAGTGTATTCTCACACTGATGTCTTGTTTTTAATTCCTTATCACACCTTATGGTCTTCCTTTGGGTGCTTCCTAAAGGGGGATCATCTTCTCACTGGCCCTCCACCAGTTCAATGTGAAATTCTAGCTTTTGGTGAGTGGAGGTAAGATATTGTATTGGAAGTTAACATTTTCTTAAACTGAAAATGAATTTCTGATTGATACTTACCTCCCCTCACATTTCCCACCCATCCTCCCCACTTCCGGTGTGAATTGGTTTAGTTAGTTATGACCAATCTTGAAGTGATTAACATGTGCATGATTAGAGAGGGCGCTAGTTACAATTATATTGGTGGATGGTTGCTGCATGATCATTTGCATATTCGTATGCAGTAATAAGTGAGGGTAACAAAGCTATTGGCAAGCAAACATTTGTGCCAATAGAGGGCAGTACAAGTCGAGAAAGATTTTTGTGAGAGAAGGTAAGCATCTATTGGAAATATATTTTCAGTTTAGGAAGATGTTAACTTACAATTGTTTGTTTCAGATACCAATTATGTTTTAGCCAATTATAAGACTGAAACCTGTAAAAGACCTCCTAGGTTGTGTAGACAAGGTTATGCTTGCCCTCAGTATCACAACAACCGGGACCGAAGAAGAAGTCCAAAAATACATACATACAGGTAAAAAGTGTTAGAAGTTTTTGGAGTACATATTGCTGTATATTGAAATCCATAAGCATTGTTTGTGAAATATTATTGCAAGCATGATGTTATATTTCTTTCAGCTTTTATGATACATAGAAGTCATAGTTCATAAAAGTTTTGAGAGATTTTTCATCTGAAGTCTTATTCATGGAAGTTTAGAGTTCATTAACATAAATTAATCTAAAAATTTGCGCTCATTGAGTAGAATATTTAACATACTTTTCTTCTAGACTATTGTAGTATAATGTTTTTACATGATGGTAATGTTAGATTTTTAAATATGGGTATGTTTGAAACATCAGGTTAGTTATTTTTTTAAAACCCAATAATAGAAAAACAGGGAGATTAACAGAAAGTCATCCAGTTTATAAGATCACCTCCAAATACTTAAAATATGAAAAACAAACATCAACCTTCTAAAGTTAAAACATAACATTCAGATTATTATCCAACATAAACTTAAGTGAATCCAAAGTAAAACACACAATACATTATTACATAAACTATACTATAAGTTAAATGTTTTCACCTGAAAATATTCCTATCTAAGAAATAACTTGGGTCCATATTTTTAAATTTTATACCAATTATCCTTGTTTTTAGCCACTATTACCTACCTCATTAGTCCAGAAATAAAGGTTTTCTCCAGGTGGCCTATCCAAACCAACAACGTTTTGATAACTTAAACATATCACTTTTAGATCTTCTAAACATCTGCAAAAAAAATGTATTTTTCCAGTTTTTCTCATAGCTCGGAGTTTTTAAGTCAAATATCATTCTGATCTGATCATTGTCTTTCTTACATTTATGAGAAAAAAGCTGAATGTTATTCATAAAATTGGGTATAGCCAAAGTTTACGCACGCACACAAAAAAACTTTGAACTAATAAGTTCATGATTTCAGTTGTTTCATACTAGAACCTGGTTCTTTTGATCACTATAGCCAAATATTCACTCAAAAGTTTCAAGTTCATCTTTACATTTGGATCCTCTTCCATCTTCTCATACATCTAGTAGGTCTTGTATAAATTTTTGTGATCAAAATTTGTTTGAGTATTAAACCACATTTACCTTTAATCATCCATTCACCAAGCCTGACAACATCTTTCTAAGTAAAAATAGTACTCTTATCAATTTCATTTTTCTCACTAATTTAGGACCATTAGATAAATAAGTTTACTTTTTAATTCAAGCACAATGTTTTGCTGTGTTCTAGTATCAAACCAACAATTTCATGGTCTACCAATTTCTCAGGTCCACACCTTGTCCAAATGTAAAACAAGCAGATGAATGGGGTGACCCTGCTAACTGTGAAAATGGAGACAACTGCCCTTATTGTCATACTCGTACTGAACAACAGTTTCATCCAGATGTAAGGATGTTGACTTTAATAGGTTTCGTTTTTGCAGTTAATGTTAAATAGATTTCAGTTTGTAATACAGGCTACAGTGTGAATAATATTTTTACAAATTAGATAAAATTATTTATGTTACAATCATAAAAATCTCAATAATAGATTATTATCCTAAGGGATTAAAAGTAAACATTGTTGGAAAAGCACAAAATAATATAGATATATAGCTTATGAAAAACTTGATCATCAAATTTTAAAACATAGTTTAAGTAAAATTAGTGAGGGGAAAATATTTCTCTCTCTCTCTTTATATATATATATATATATATATAAATAATGCATATGAATTTCTTATAGAAATATTAAATGAATAACAAAAAAATCATGTCTATATAAAACATTATAAATTAAACCAATTTAAGAAACTTTGAATCGTTAATGAAATAGTAGAATTTACAAAAGCTAGAGAAATAATATAAAAGTATAAAAATATCACTTTTATTAAATATTATGAAGATAGTTTTAAAGTTTATACAAATACAGTTAATCAATAGGAATGAATTGATAATTAATTAATCAATAGCTAGGAATAGGAAGAAAAATAAATACTATAAAATTCATATTTAAAATATATAGGGGATATAAAAGAAAATAATTTTGTTAATAGGCTAATTGATAAAGAAAATAAGAAAATGATATTGCCTGATTGTGCATACGGTGACAGAGGAAATTATAATGAAGTAATTAGAAATTCAGCACATAGATTTGCTAACTATCTTATAAATATAACAGAATAAAATTATAAAACAAATGGTAATGAACCATGCAAAATATTTATATGAATAGAAACAATAATTCCATGTTTTTATTATCTAAATGTAGTAAGGAACTGAAAACTATAATTATGATAGAATAAGAATATTGAAAGAGTATAAATTATATCAAAGAACTAGCATTGGGTGATTAACTTGATTGATTAATTACGTATGAGCATTGATTCCATTGGTTGGTGTCAGTAAAATACTTTGTTAACCAAAATTATGATTAAATCAATTAATATCATGAAAATAATCAACTAATTGAAAGTTGTGTTTCTGATTATTCTAGCTATACAAGTAATAGAAATATTGTTATTTCATTTGTTACTTTTAATTAATTCAAGGTTATTCAACTTAATCAATTAGTGTCACAACTCATGAAAAATAATCAACCAATCATAATTTGTGTTGGAAATTATTACATTTTTTGATTATTCCAACTAACCAACTTTCACGTGAGAATAAGCTGTTAGTTAAATGTAATTGATCAGTAAGCTACATGATTAATCAATTGGCAAGTTCTAGTAATCGACCAGCTCTACATAGAACCATTGATATATATATATATATTTATATATATATATTTATAATTTGCCTATTACAACAGAAACTTTTCCAGATAATGTTAAAAAAGCTATAGTAATTTCAAAATACAGTGATACCAAAAACTATGTAAATTTTAGACTTATTTTTATCAATATTTTCTAAAACACAAATAGAAATAGTAAAAAGCAGTTGATTAGAATTTTAGGTAAACAGTCAGTATGGACTTTGAGAAGTGTTAAATATGAAAGAGGTACTATTAAAGTTCATAAAATATCTATAAGTCCTTGAATAATAAAGAAAAGCACTGAGAGTATTCTTGTAGTTAAGAAGGCATTTGATAAAATATCATATCAAATATTATTAGATAATATGGAAATTTAGGGAAAAGAAGCATTACATTAAAAATATTTAAATCCTGTTTATATAAAAGAACACAGATTGTAAAAATAAATGATAACTTTAGTGACGCTACTATAATAAAATATGGTGTTCCACAAGGTTCTGTACTTGGTTCCCATTTTTGTTATCAGGGTTATAGCTATAGTGGGTGGGGCCAGTCAGGATTTATTCTGCCTACCCAGCACTCCCATGCAATGTGACTATTGCTGCTTGGCACTAAATATCACTGAGAAAGAGTTCACCATAAGCACAAAAAAGTTCTTTGTTGATGTTGCAGTACAGTTTACTTCACAATTACCTTGTTAGAAATAAACTCTTTTCTGGAAAGGTCACAAAGAAAATCACCTTCACGTTAAAATACTTTTCAAGAAAAATCCACTGGAAAAAACCTGCACATGTAACTGAATTTGGTTGTACTTACTGTAACACAACAAATAATATAATCAACAGTGGACACCATACAAAGCCAACTTTCTTTCCAGTAAAAAGTTTGTGTGGTGTGTAAAAATATTTTCAAAATTTTATGGACATCTAAAATATCAAAGTATATCAATGTGTTTTTTGTATAAAACTTTTTTGTGATCTCATTTTGACTAATTTGTATCAATTACCTGCTGTGAAAGATAGATCAATCAGAAAAACAAAACTTAGCCTAGAGTAAAATTTGTCTCCACCTTTATTTTTTTTGACTCGTCGTTCACCTTATAACACATATTTGTATAGTGACTGCTTATGTAGAGTGTTTTATTGGACTTTCTGAAGGAATTTAAAATTTTTCAAAGTCGTTAAAATTACAAACATGAAAATAATAAACTTTTTTTTTTGCCTGGTCAAGGGGGTGGAGATGGTACAATGGTGGCAGCCATAGGCATGTGCATCTATGGGCTAGTCTGGTTTTTACTGCCCACTACTCAAATCATCCTAACTACAATTCTGTTCTGCAGTTCAAAATGTTATATCTCACAAATGGTATGGCATAAGAAGATGAAACTGCACATGAATATTAAGGGTATCATGTAGATGCAAATGCCACAGTTGATAAATGTTGCCACCAGTGGTGCTTCTGTGATTTTTTTTCTTATCTTTAAGAATAACTGTTGAAAATATGTTCCTCCGGTGTCCAAAATACACAGTGTCCATGTGACAATGGACATTACCTGAAAGAGATCCTACAAAACTTGTCTCACCTGGTTACCAATATGTGGGGCAACATATTGCATGAAAATCATAGTGTTTATCACATTTTGTAGGTGTAGCAAAAGAGTGTATAAAATATATCATAGAACTAGAGCTGTGTGGTTAACTTGACTGATCATTTACTCATTAGTTGTGGGCATTACGTGATATTGTTCAGGTTTGCAGTCCATGTGCTGATAGTTCTTCAAAAATGTATGGTCCAGTTACAAAATCAGCTGTGCAACCACATCACACTGTCATCTAAACATCTTGGAGATGTGTAGGAAATGTTACATGTGGATTAGTTTCTTGCCAGATAATGCAGTTGCATGAGATAACACTTGAAGAAAAGATGAAATATGCTTCATCAATGCATGAGATATAAGCCTACCATTGTTCATCAGCTTCCAGTTCTGCCAAAAACTGCATTGCAAATTCAACATATCTGGTTAAATATATCTCCTTCAGTGCTTGTATATAGTGCAGCTTGTAAGGAAATATTTGCAAGGTTGACCAAGAGCCTTGTAAAGAATTAAAATTGGCAAATACAGACACTGAGTGACATAATGTGCACTTCTGCTGGCTTGTTCTGCTACAGCATGGCTGACCTCAACAATAGTTTCAGTAGGTGTAGGTGGTCTGCCTGCATGTGGCTTATTACAATTGTAACCTGTCTTGTCAAATTGTTTTTTGAACTTGTGTACAGCAGCACTGGAAAAATGCACACTGAACAGATGTTATGCTTTCTATGGTATTCCCTGAGAGGTGCCATAACATTGCACCCTTTTATGTAATAACACATTTCCCTAGCTTGTGTTTTTTTGCATGCTTGTCAGTTTCATGTTGGTTGAATGAGCTATACTGCAGTTGATGGATCCCTTTATATCCATGATAAATATAGGAATGAAATCATAGTGGCACCCCTGGTGGCAACATATAACAACTCTGGGATTTGTACCTGCAATTTAACCTTAATACCCCTATGCAATTTCATTCTATGCCGTACTGTTTATGAAATAAGACACCAGGAACTATAAAATTTGCTATATAATAACCCTGTTTATAAATGAGTTACATGATCTGAATTTAACTTATGAAATTACTATTTTTGCTTATGATACAACATTAAAATTTAGCTCTGCTAATATAGAAGAATTAAAATTTCAAGTTAAAAATGATTTGCAAACAGTAGGAAATTATACTTTTCAAATAAATTATCTATTAAAATAATTTTAAATTGTATATTCATAATAATGAGTGTGTAAATAATAATGACATAAATTTTCACAAATTAAAAGAGTGGATGTTATAAAACATTAAGCCTTAAAATTGATAAAAATTTAAGGAAGCAACATGTTAAAAATTTGGCACATTAAGATTTATATTAATTAAAATTTATTTAAGAAAGATTAAGCATCTAGTCATTAAGAATTCCTTATTTGTCACTGATATAGTCAGTTAATTCAGTATGGAATTTTGGTATGATTGAAACTTATCCAACTACACAAAAGCCAGTTTTTTGAATTGGCCATAATATGAGTAATATAACATCACATAAAGATAAAAATGAAATAATTTATAAAATGTTCATTTGACCATAAATATTTCCTGTGAGATATTTATTAATTTATTGAATATTATTACTTATTAAAAATAAAAATTATCATTTACAAATAATAAATTATGTTTGTCGTAATAGACTACAGGAATTAAAATTTGAATAGTTAAAAGGGAGATTGTGCATAAGTATTTTTGTTACTTAGCATCAAAACTATTTCATAATTTATCTTTAACAATGAAAAAAATTAAGGTGGTATAACTAAATTTTTGGTACAATTAAGATAAATTTTGTTTAACTATAAAAATAAAGATATATTTAATGTTAGCAAAATTAATTATTATTTTTACTTTTTGTGATTAAATATAATCATGAGTAATTAATGTTATTAACTCAGATGAACTAAAAGCTCTAGGGCTAATTATAGTTAAATTAGTATTGTATTTATAATTTAACTTGTATTGAATTTTGCATTGGATTGTAATAATAATAAACTTTACAATAATGAAAGGATAACCTACACGTGTAGAAAGAACAGAATGTTGTTCTACTTTGAAGTGCATTCTGATTCAAACAGAATTTAAAAATTTTGAGACATTGGTCGTAATATAAAGCAATTTCTTATTTACACCAGTGTAGTTTTGTGAAATCTTAGTTTGAGATTTTAATATATGATTGAAAATGTGTAGTTGTGCTTTTTAAAAGAAAATATATAATGTCTTCAATTTTCCTTCTGTACCAAGCCCATGAGGTAGAAGTCACCCACAAGTACTTGCTAAGCTGTATATTAAAACAGTTACTCAGAAAGTTTACTAAGATATTTTTTATGTTACATTTGTATTTTCTATCAGTAAAAACAGTTTTAATTAATAATATAAAGACAATTCAATATGTGATAGGTCTTAAACAACATATAACATTTTGTTTTTGGAATACAATAAATGTTGAAACTATATAAAATAGATATACACATGTAAAACACAATTAATTCCTGTGCTTTTAACTGTTTTGGGAAAGTAAGAATTTTTTAAATTAGACTGTTATGAATTTCTTTTTTGCAGATTTACAAATCAACAAAATGTAATGATATCCAGCAGACAGGATACTGTCCTCGTGGCCCCTTCTGTGCTTTTGCTCATGTTGATAGTATGTTTTTTGCTATTTTTTTAGTTACATTAATCCTTTATTCTAAATTATTGTCAAACTTTGGAGCTACTGAATTTTAATTTAACAAATGAATTACTGTAATAATTTCAATATGCTTTAGACATAGATTTTAACTGTTTATATTCATTGCTGAGTTTGATGTTTTTTGAAATAAACTTTCACACCAATGGAGTGGAAAATAACATATTATAACTGTATTTGATTAATGATTAGCTAAAATCTCTTGTGAAAGATGTATATATATTGAATTTAAAATATAGTCTTCATATAAAGACCAGAGTCTCTTAATATTAAACACTATACAGTTTAGCCAGTTCTAACTCAAAAATTAAGCTCGGTATGGGTATTTAAAATGCAGTTTAGTGAATGAAAACCTTCCAATTGACTTTTTAATTGCATGTTCTTCAAACAAACAGAAATTCCACTCCAAGACAGTAGTGTATTTTTGTAAGCACCCTCAAAACTAACCTTCAGAGTACCAGATGATAAGATTCAGTACAGCCTTGAGGAGTTTTCTTTTTACAGGAATGATATTTAACTGGACATGATTCTTCTAATTAAAACATTATTTTATTTTATATTATTATTTACAAAGATTAATTTCATGCTTATAGTGAAACAGGAGCAGCTTGATTGTGTTTAACCTTGCCTGTCTATATACTTGAATGTATTTTTAATGCTTACTTGCCTATAAGCACAGTCACATAATATGTAGCTATCCAAAAAAAATGCCATATAAAATTCTGTGTAACTTTATGCATGTAATCAAGTGGTGTACTTCTATTTTAGCATCCATGTTAATAAATAACATTATGTTAGGATGATATTGCACCTAACATCAGGGTGACAACAAATCAGGGAAAGTGAGGGTGGGTACAAAACATTAATTTTGCTTTAGTTTCCAGTCATATTAAGCATCAAGCTGGCATTAAGCTTCTACATAGTCATATTCGTACTTATGAATGTATATTTACAGCATAAAAATAAGCACTGCAACAAAAACAAAATGCCATACATTTATCAAAATACTAGATGCTAGTACAGTGTTCTAATAGCTGTAGTGGATGGGAAAGGAACTGAAAACATGTGACTTTGTTTTGAACTATGCAAGGTGTAAAAAATTCATTGAAAGATAATTATTCAAATGGGACACACACTGACAAATTGTGCTGATAATCAGTTACTGATGTATTTTATGGCCCTTGTAGATTACTAGCCTTGGTTACATTTTGATATACAGAAAATACTTATGAGTGTAATGAAGAAATGAATTATTTCAACAGGGAATCAGTTACTGATGTATTTTATGCCCCTTGTAGATTAATGTTTTTATCTGCTTCAGAATATTTTGATTTTTCATGATAGAAACGGTAGTAATTAGGTCTTTGGGTCATCTGTAAAATTACAGAAGGAGAAATATATATCAGCAGTTCAGTCTATATAGTTTCATAAGCTGTGTAGAAACTTCCTAATCTTTATTTACAGAAGTAACTATAAAAGTAGCATGTTCTACATTTCTTAAGTAATTTTCAATATAAAAACAACTGAAATAAATTGAGAAATAGTTTTTAATTGAAGTTTGAATGCAGTTGTCTAAGTGACACAGTATTGATTTGCTAAAGGATAAGATTTTTACAACAGAATATCATATGGTTTTTGTTGCTGCTATTTTTAGCTAAAACACTTGTTTCTTCTTTTTATTGATGTTAAAATTTGATAACAGGATTGTTTAAGTTTCACACATAATATAATATTATTATTTAAAACTGTGTGTGTGTGTGCCAGTTTATAGATATCTGAACCAAAAACACAAACAGTTGAAGATTTAGTTATTAAATTTGTTTAAACTGAGATTAAGTAACAAAGAAATATGAACATTTATAACATAATATTTAGGGACAACAAGGAACCTTTTGGTCCATATAGGCTATCCCATCCACTAAACTAAATTAAAACTATTGAAATAAAACCTCATAGCCAGCCCTTATCATTCATATATTTATCAAGCCTTGCCTTACATATCATTGATGTATTACGAGTAACAAATTATTTAAAAGTACAACCCCAAACATGATACGGCATTTTTTATAGTTCATTTATTTTAACATATATGAGGAGTTCTAATTTAGTGAACATGCAAGAACTAACAGACTTGGTACATTTTATTTTGTTTGATTACCACAATGGTAGTAATCTCTCTGAGGTCTTTATAATTTTTTTTTTTTTTTCAGGAACCTTTTGATATTCACTCATATCTAACTAGGTACACGACAAATAGTAATTAGATCCATGAGTAACAGTGTTCATTTTATTTATTAATAAAGACAGAATCAAAGATGAGGAAACCAGATTTTGTTATTAATAAAATTGTGAAAAATGTAGAGTTAGCTTCAAAACTAGTAAGTAATAGATAAAAAAAAAACAAAAACATTTGATTGTTCTTTAACCACTTGTTTTGGTGAAATAGTTGTAAATTGGTTAAGAAAGTATAAGTATGTTATTTATTGTGTTTACAGTTTTTTGTTCTAATTAAGTAGTGGAAGTGAATTTTCTTACTTTGCAATTTGCTAAATATCTCACTGGTAGCAATCTTTTTCTTTTGATAAATAGAAATAGGAGTGTATTTTCTGAAATGTGCATATGTTCTGTTCTCCTCAGAAGAAATATCAGCAGTACGAGATATAGGTGTAGACAATACAACAAATCTGGCAGTAATTTTGTCAAATGTTTTACCACCAAATTCTATAGCTAGTTCATCTCAATCCCAAACATCATTGGTAAGTGTCTTATAAATTTCTTAGATGAGTACAAATTGCTAGTTTTGGAAGCAGTTGTAGATTTAATTGTTTGTTATTTTAAACTTTAAGTAGAGCATTCAGTTCAGCTGTATAATATTTCACTTTATTGGTTGTATATATTTATTATATGTACAGTTTTTGTCCTCTTTGTGCATGTAAGTATTTATTGATGAATTTTTAAATAATGATTTGTACCAAAAATGAAAAGGGATTGAATTTGAAGCCTTTCATAATTTTCTCTTCTTTTTTTAATAGCAAACAAATCAGTAGTTAGCAATAAGGATAAATAGAGGAATTTTGTGCATATTGCTTACGTATTTGTGCCCAAGAATAGTCTAGTGGCTAGCATATCAGTCTACAAATCGGCAAGACAAAAGTTTGAGACCAGATCCACTTAACACACACACTTTTGGCTCTCAGCACGTTAGTAAAGTAACAGCCAGTCCCATTACATGGTTCAAAGAGCTGACAGAGCCCTTTTGGTAGTGGGTGCTGCTGGCTTGTGTACTTAGTTTTGAAAATACTAAAAACATAAAACTACCATTAATCCAAGGACACCATTATCATGTAAGTTTATTTGTAGGTATGTTACGTACAACAATATTTTAATTTGATTTTCATAACTATTTTATAGACATAATGTTTTCTGAGAATTCCATTGATTAAAATCTCAATACTTTAAGTTCTTTTTTTTTATACGATAGACATGCCCATGTTTATATGTCTTGTTAATTAAAAGTGTAAATATAAAATAATTTTGCTTTTTTTTTCACTATAGTTGCATGAAATTGCTTTCATTTTGGATCATCAGGGTTATTGAAAATTATGCATTTGAAAACGTTTATGAAATCCTAGAGAGGGAATGGTTTTCTTGTTCATATACAAGTTCAAGGTGTAATATATACATATATATATATATATATCTTCAAATAACATTATAGGGTGTTCATCTTGTGTATTTAAGTGCTGGAAACAAGTTTTACATTTATGGTTCATAGCTATAGCTGTAGTGCTTTCACAGCATAGAGTTGCTTTCCAGTGAACAGAATACTTTAAGGTGTACAACTTGATAGTAAAGTCTTTGCATGTTAACTCCTGTTACTGAAAAAGTGCATAGTGACAGCTTATACATATTTACTTTGACCATCAATTTTTCCCTTCTTACTGAAATGTACTTGACATTTGATATGCTAAAAAAAGTTCCAAAAATCTCACTCTAATTTATACAGTTCTGTAATTTCATATTTATGTTTGTCAGTAGCAGGTGCTTGGCATTTAATAAGACAAATTGAAAAATGTCATTCTAATTTATACAGTTCTGTAATTTCAAATTTATGTATGTCAGTAGCAGGTGCTTGGCATTTAATAAGGCAATATGAAAAATGTCATTCTAATTTATACAGTTCTGTAATTTCATATTTATGTATGTCAGTAGCAGGTGCTTGGCATTTAATAAGGCAAATTGAAAAATGTCATTCTAATTTTTAGGAAATTGAGTGAATTGTTCACATTTCTCTCATAAATAAACAAAAGGCAAAGTGTTAAATATCTACATTTAACTAAGAGAGAGAGAGAGAATATATACTTCTTAGTAAAATATAAAAGTTGGTATTTTACTTCTTATTAGACACTAAGTAAAAGAGATGACTCACAAACCCAAAAAAATGAAGTCCATGTTAACGACACGGAAGGGTCTTCACAACAAATAGTGTTAAATTCTTCAACAGAAGTCATTGGAAATGATGGGGTAAGAATTCTGTTAGATACGTCAACATATAATTATTTTTACTGTAATAAGTAAAATGAAAGATATTTTATATCAAGGGTAGAAATTTGAAGTAAAATGGCGAGTAGCACTGTATTAGTAAGAGAGGCACAAATAGTGCAGTGCCATTACTTGCAGTATATCATATGCTTCCTCATGGGTATTAAGTCAAAGTTACAATTAATGAACATAAAATTATCATGTTAAATTATTTTGTAATCTCCAAAGTAAACTAATAACACTGTAAATAAATTTGATGTTGAAGTGACACTTTTATAGTTAAGATTTATAGAGTCAAGTGATTACCACTGGTGCACTTGCAGTTACCTTGTTATTTTAATGGTTATCTTTATCAATATGACTTTTTCACTGAAGAAAAAAATATTATTTTTTAATGCCATGTAACTTAATGGATCTTATGTTGAAAAAATTTTTTGTACTTCTAATTTATATTGAAGTGATAACCATATGTACATGTGAATTTTTTCACTTTTTTCTCTTCTCTCTCTCTCATTCCAATAGTCATCAGTTGAGTGTTCAACTTTCATTGGTAATAATCCACTTCCTGCACCAATAGCTCGGCCTCGGTCATATAGTTCATCAACTAATCATTCTGGAGAAATTTTAGTCTCTTACCAAAAAGCCCCTGGATCTGAAAGAGAAGATCGAGAGGTATGTATATGCTAAAGAAAAACTAAACTTGTTTTACTTGCAATAATCTAACATAATTGTTCAGATTTTTCAAAACTAGTCTTAGTTCTTAGAGCTGAATCACTTTGAAGAGCATTTGATAGGAGTTGATGTCAGTTATTTTTCAAAACTAAATACAAAATCAACTCCATCTTCCAAAGCTTGTCACTATTGTTAAAGCATTTTAATAATAAATCCAATGATAGAATTTATATCTAACTGATAGGAGTCACTAAAATACAACTGAAACTTTATACCATTAAAGTAGTTTCATGATGCTCTTCCTACTTCCAAACTTAATTTTTCATACTTGCCAATGTTGCATACGTTCTTCATACCTGGTGCTTATTGGTGTTTGTAGGCGTATAGACAAATAAACTGTGAATTTTAATATCATGGTAATGTTTAGTCTAGTTGGGACCTATAAGTTTCAAGTTTTTATTCTATAACCTTTTAATTATTATTATTTATTTATTTTCATTTACACTCAAGAATTTGTAGTAGGTTTTATAATGAGAGATGACTACTTTTTGCTAGATTTTTGTTTTCAGAGATACCTTTCATTTTGTACATTTTCCTTGAAGTTTTCATTCTTTCTTGCTACAACTGCCTTAATTAGATGCAATTTTGAATGTATTTAACCGAGAGAGAGAATCATGATAATTTACCTCATGGTTTAATATACTAAAATGTTTAGTTTTCAATCTGACTTCCGTGAGGGTTGATACTAAACAAATGTAGGTTTGGCGCAAGAGGTGGGCACAGCACAGATAGCCCATTGTGGCATCCCTGTGTCTCAGCAGTAAATCTGAGGGCTTGTAACGCTAAAATTTGAATTTTCATACCCAGGAGAGCAGGGTATGAATAGCCAATTGTATAGCTTTGTGCTTAACAAACAAAGTGTTTTTGTATGGTTACAAATTGTTCACCCTTTTTCTTTTATACGCACATGTATATTTGACTTTTCAAAACAGTTGTAAGGATTTATTCTTTGCATGATTCAGCTTACACTGTAATTAGTATAGGATGCCAACACCATCTGATATTATTTATAAAGGTTAAAGTCAACTGATATTTGTGTAAGGAATAGTACTTTATTGCATTTCGTGTTCTTTCAATTTGCTTTGTTAATGGAAGTAAAACAAATATGTTTTAGTTGTGTTTTTTTATGTTTTGAGGGTTGCCTGTAAAGGAATCCTTACTAATTTTACCAAATATTTTATTGAAAGTTAGCATAGTTTTAAAAAAAAAAACTTGAAATCTAAAGTAAAAGTTCAGGGAAAAATTTTTATAAGAAAAGAAATGTGTAAGACCTTTTGATATGATAGGAAAAAAAGTTTAAATGGGGCTGATTAGAAAAACTAAAAATCGTAGTTGAGAGATTCAAACAAAGCTTTTAATAACACTTGTGCCAGAAAAATTGAAAATGTGAACAAGAAGCATAGATAATGTTAGAAGAGAAATTTGTAAAACCAAGATAGGCAATATCACTTGGTACAGAATTAGTTATGTAGAGATAAAGCACACTTATGTGATAAAACGTTAAAGTAAAAAATCAGAACAAAGTACACAGTCTTGAAATAATATTGGTGCTCTTAACTGTAAGAATAAAGTTTTAAAATTCTAATTAAATATTCTTTGTGTTCATGTTTTTAAAACAGACCTTCACATGAACAGAGCTTGCCACAATTTGTGCTTTCAAGTTATTTCTAGCATAAACAACAGATAAAATTATGAAAAACATACTTTTTAGAGCTATATAAATGAATATTTATGTATTATAGAAGTTTAGTAACATATCTTTTTATGGCTTTTTTTTTAATTGAATCTTGAATTTTATTTGTTAAATTGTGTGAGTCAAGGAGGTATGTCTTTGTTGGGCCAAGCACAGCTCAGTGGTTAGCACACCAGATTGTAGATCCAAGGTTCTGTCGCTCCTGCCCAGTTACTGGAAAATAAAATCTCTCCACAATTTAGGGCTATGAATGTGTTATAAGAGTGATGGTCAAATCCCACCATTCAATGAGAGTAACCCAAGAGTTGGTGGTGGGTGGTGTTTACTAACTGCCTCGCCTGTAGTCTAACACTTCAAAATTAGGAACAACTATCATAGATAGACCTCGAGTAACTTTGTGGAAAATTCAACAAAACACAAAACTGTTTCTGTTTATTTTTCGTTAAAGTAGTTATTAAAGTTAATTTAAGATTGCATGTTAAAAGAACGGAATATTTTAGCATTTTGTCGTAAGCTGCTAAAGTTAATGTTTACATAGGAGATTGAAATGCAAATAAAGTATGAGCTTCTGTTAGCCAGATTTAGGAAGAAACTGTAACAGCCGAGTTTTAATATTGTGAAAAGGGAGTCTGTGTAGTGTACAACAGCTTTCAGTAAAACTATTGTTTTAAGTAATACTTTGTAAAAGCAGTTTCAATATTATTATATAAATTTGTTTTAGGTGACTCTTAGGAAACAGTTAGATGCTATAGATAGTGATTCATCTTTAGACCTAATTGAGAAAACTCATCGTAAACAAAGTATATGTTTAGCATTTGGCATCAACCCAAGTCACCTAGCTTCATCTTCTTTACCACATAGTACCTCATTAATATCAGCCTATTATCCAACAGCAGTAGATACAGTTGAATCGGTTGTTGGTAAGTAATATTTTACTTTTGATGTTTCTTCAAGACAATAAAACTATTTTTAATGAAACATAAAAAACTTGTGGAAACCAACTTTCTAGATGAACAATAATTTTAATTTTTTCCTTTTTCAGAATTTAAAATACTATCAGTTTTTCCTTTCAGTGCTGTTTGGATTCTAAAAAAACTTTTTTCATACTGAATAGCAGTCTAGTAATAAACAAAAACAAATAAAAAGTTTTGTAATTATTGAGCTGATAATGAAAGTCACTTTTTTTTTTACATTATTACTTATAGCTGATGGATTATTATTTTCCAAACCAGGAAATGCCTTAGATGATCTGAATCTTGATGATATTAATGTTGAAGCATCCATAGACAAAGAACTAGAATGTGAAGCTAACCCAGTGAGTTCATCGTTATCAGCTGGATTGGTTAGTTCTGGTATGTAAAAACAAAAATACAAAGTCTTCTCTCTCCTTTTTTTATTTAATATGGTTTCAAATTTTCATAAAGATGAAAAGTTAGCCTTTTTATCAGTGGTTACTAGTAGTCAAACATTACTCAAAAAGTATTATATTTAAAATGTGAAATAGACCTAATCATTTCCAATGTTCAAATTTCTTTTAAGATTTAAAATAATATGTGACATATTGTGATTTAATCCACCAGGAAGTGTCATAAAAATAAGTTTTTAATACATATTCTTAAAATATTAGGATTTTGGTATGTACTATTTCAAGATTTTATGGATAGGTCCGCTTTCATTGGGAAAGTAAAGCACAATATTGTTGAAATTGGAAAATATAAAGCTGAAGATTTATATGAACAACGTTAGACTAAACAACTATTCCTTGTTAATTTTATGTTGCTTCACTTGTTTTTTAAACATACAATTATGACAACTAGCTTTTGTTATAGAACATGTGAACAAAATATGATTTAGGCTTCTGTGAATATAATGTATAGATTAATTTTTTTTCTTATTGTATACTAATAGTCATATAATCTTAAAAAAATTTTTACCTAACTTCTCTTAATGGCATGTGTCAATATTAGACATATCTGGACCAAGTGTTCGTACCAGAAGTTGATGTGAGGGTTCTTTCGGTATATGTATATTTATACTTGCATATACATAGATTCAGTCATATTCTTGAAAGCAACAGCCTTGTTTGAACTAATAGCAGTGAAAAACAAAAATTTTATAATTCATTCTGAAATGAATACTCCCCTTTTCACACTGAATAGCTTCTTTCCTTTTGAGTTTTGTACAACCTGCAAAAGAGATTTGCAAGTTACTAGCCTTGTGAAAACTCCCACCTAATCTCATGTAAGTTTGCAACATTGCATAATCATGCAGCAGAAGCCACATTCATGTGCAATGACTCCCTCTACATTAGTGCTCATTAATTCTCATTCTTTTCCTTGGCACTGTCACAAACAAACAAACATGTTTTGAGTTTGCTGAGATTTGCAACTTTCACTTGATTGAGTTTTAACATACTCGATTAAATGTGAACTCTTTTTTTCTGCTGATGTGAGTGAAGATATTCCTCACCCTGAACAAAATACCAGTCATTTGGCAAGAAGTGTTTTATCTGTGGAAGATGTGATGGTCATTGTCCAGTGTGTGGTGGGGTCCAGGATGTTGCCAGGACCCTCAGCTTCATTCCTTTCCACTCACTTCCCTTACTCTTCTTTCAAGCCTGAAGTTGAGGAGAACGAATTTGAGCACCTTTTTCTGCTTCCAGGTTTTGCTTTGGGAACATCCTGACCTACTGAAGAACACTTTCAGTCTTCCTCAGATTTTCAAAACCTTATTACTCAGGTATGTAGAGTTCTTTTTCTCTCTCCCATATCCTTTGAGTCTTCCCATTCTTTGTTATGCAACCATTCCCCACAAGATTTCTTTGTTTTTCACTCCTCACTTCACATTGCTGTACATGCCAGTTCATTTCTAGATCAACTTCATTCCTGTAACCTTATATCTTGTCACTCTTGCCAGTTTGGGGAGTAGATTCATTATTAGCTGTTTCCCTATCTAGTGCACAATTTTCCAACTTTGAGTCTTTCTCTCTACCCTCCTTAGGTAGCTCTCTTCCTTCCATCTTATGATGGAAATACTTCACTCTTCCCCTGATGATTTTTCTGGGAAGTTTAGAATGCTCCTCTTTTGTACAATGGCCTATTCCACTTCCTCTGCTCTTTCTCTTCTCACTTGTTTTTTTTTGTTGTTGTTGTTGGAACCTTTTGAGTAGGGATACCCTACTTTCTCAAGTCCATTGCACTTCCTCTTGGACCTTTGTCTTACCCCTTTTCTTCATCCAGAGGCTTTTGGTGGTGTTCCTGATTCCCTTGAATCACAAGCTAAAGCTGACCACCATCAATCTTCCTTTACTTTCTTACTTCCCTGTTATACCAATTTTGCCCCTCCACTTCTGGCCTTTCTCCCATTCCTCATTCTGTTCCTGTGTCTCAATCTTCTACCTTTTTTACTCTCCAACATCTCACCCACTGACTTAATTGTTTCACTATCTGTGGGAGCCCACCTATCTCAGTTTGCAGACTAATGAGTTATACAAGTTCTTTCCCATGGTGTTTCTCATCATATTTCTTCCCCCACTTCTGTCCCAACCTGTTTCCTTTCAATGTACATCTGATCCTCCTTACCTTCTACATCTGGAAGGGTGGTGGTGATTTTTTAGAGAAGGATATTACCCCCACCTCTTTGTTATCCCCAAAAGGACAGAGGACTGGCACCTAATTATTGACCTTTCCTCCATCAATACTTTCCTGGTCGTCCAACATTTTCAGATGGAGAATTTTTTTTCTTTCTGTTTCTTAGTCTTTCCAGTCTGGCTTGTGTATGACCAAAGTTAATATGTCAGAATGCTTTTCTCCATATCCCAATTGCCTCGTCCTCACAACAGTTTCTCAGATTTATTCACAGGGATTGCATTTTCCAGTTCCATTCCCTTCCATTCAGAATAGCATCAGCTCCTTATGTTTTCAATCATATAATGTGGGCCTTTGTTCGACATATTCGTGGCCTGTGTCTGTGAGTTAATTTCTAAATGGATGACTAGCTTCTCTTCACCCATTCCCAGGTGGAATCCTCTGAATATACTTTACTTCTTCTTCACTAAGTCACTTGTTTAGGGTGGCTTGTCAAAATTTCAAAGTCCTTCCTTGCCCTGACCCAATATCTCATCCACTGGGGAGTTTTTTTCAACTCTAACCTCAGCTATGCCCTATCTTCTCCAGTTTTTTTACAGGACCTCGAACAACTGGTCACCAAAGTTCACAACTTGCCTTCACATTCTGTGTGAGAGTTTCTATCTCTTTTGTGGACCATGGATTCTCTGGAACCCTTTATTCCACTTTATCGTACACAGGGATCCACTATCCTCACCGACCTCTTCCTTTTTTCTCTACTTAAGGATCTTGCTTGGTGGCTAGAATGCTTCAACACTACATCCATGTTCCTTTTCCTCCTCCCTGGATGGAGAGTGTCCCTGAAGGACTGTCTGACTTCGAGTTATTCGACCTTGGAATAGCTTTAACTACATATCAGTGCCCTTGAATTGCTCACTGTCCTTCAGGCATACTCTCATATTTTTCCCCTCCTTGTGGATCATTTGGTGGTAACCCATATGTACAATTCTGCCAAGAGAGCACCCAATCCAAGACCCCCTTCTTTTAGTCATTAGACCCATTTCAGTCAGATGAGTTTAATAGCCTGTCATTTTCCAAGCACACTGAACATTGTGATGTACCATTCTCTTTTATTGAGACCATGGCCTACCCATGGAATGGTCTCTCCATTTTCCAATATTCATTGGATCTGCTCCCAACTTGGAACTCCCCAAATAGATGCCTTTGTTACATCCCTCAATACCAAACTTCCTCTCTTTTGTTCTCCAGCACCTCACCCCTCAGCTCCAGCTGTCAGTGCCCTCAGTCAGAACTGATCCTATTTCTTCCTTTATGTCTGTCTTCTTCTCTGCCTCCTTCCTTGGGTTCTTGTGCTGATTTAGGACACTCCCTGCAGAGTCCTGATAATAGCCTCGTACTAGCCTGCCCAACTGTGGTTTCTGTTACTCCATCCCTTCTGTGTTCCAATGTAAATGGTATGCTCACTGCTCATTTCCACCCTGGCCAATCTACCTTACAACACCTTATACACTCCCTTGCACCCATTTTCATCATCTGCTAGAGTAGATTATCCATGCTGGCACGTGGAACACCCAACACACATTTGTCATCCACTATCTGCACCACCTGGCTGTTTCGTCTCAGGAAGGATTTAAACTTCTGCCCATAGCTATTCTTCAACTCACCACTAATTTACAATAGGATCCCACTAGGCAGCTAGTGTTACCTCCCAGGGTATACTTACCCAAAGTCTGCATTGAGCTAGTATAACAGATAGCGCTTATATCATCCTCCCTGGTTCTACAAGTTCCCACTGTGAAATGGGATGTTCCGCAACATCACTTGAGGTTTCCTAGTGGTGTATATATATATATATACACATATATATTAAGTTGTCAAGAGATTAATGTTGATTTTTTTTTAGATGAAAAAATGAACAACTTGTATATCAAAACAAAACATTTATTAAA